TATGCTTTCGCATGTTGGCCATTTCCTCTTCCATTGCCTCTATCCATTTAAGCTTTTCTGTGGATTTCATTGCCTGGTTATAAGTGTTTGGAATTGAAACCTCTAGTCAGCTATCTCGGGTATATGACGTTGAAGGAGTACCAGTTGGGTCGATTTCACCACTATAAGTATTGTTTGCTTCCCTTGAAATCAAACAAGGTAGGATCATACTGAATATTATGTTCAGTGCAATACCTTTCTACATCATTTGGTGATCGTAGTCTTTGATTAGACCCCCTCTCAAAATAATACACATCCGTATGAGTGGCGTCTGGCCTTGGAACAGGTTTACGAAGCCAAGTTACTTGTCTCAATGTAGATTGAGTGTCAGTGCCAGTTGTAGAAGAAGGTATATTGGTATCGGTTCTTTCCTCTATTTCAGGAAAATAGCCAACTGGAGTATCAGTAGATTGGAACTCTACCCTTTCTTCAGATTCCAAATCAGGAAGGGTGCCCAGTGCAGCTCCACTGCCACTTTTCTGCATTGCATTCCAATTGACTCTTTAAAAGTAGCATTTAGGGTTTCTACTACCTTTTGCTCATTTTCCAACCAAATCTTGTACCCTTTTGTTCGTACACTGTACCCAATCAATCGGCCCTTCGTTGCCTTTGGATCAAGCTTAGAATTTCTTTTAGCCTTTGGAATTCCCACATAGGCAATCGTTCCAAATGCCTTAAGGTGACGTACTGATGGTGTCCGCTTCGTGTACAATTCGAATGGGGTTCTATCTTGGCCCTTATGACAAATTCTATTAAATGAATATGAAAAATACATTACTGCATCTGACCAAAATTCGGAACTCATTCCACTATCGTGTAAGATTGCACGTACGTTGTTGACAGCTGTCTGATTAAATCTCTCACAAACTCCATTCTGTTCCGGAGTATATACATCTGTAAATTCGTGCTTTGCACCATTTTTATTACAATATGACCTGAATTGATCATTATCATATTCTCGCCCATTGTCAGTCCTAAAGTATTTCAACTTAAGGTTCAAAGATCTTTCCGCACGTGCTATATGCCTTTCAAATACTTCAAACACCTGACTTTTCTCCACAATGGGGTACACTACCACATAACGAGAATATTCGTCAATAAAGGAAACGAAATAACGTTCACTATTCCTACCTGGAATGTTAATAGGTCCCCATACATCAGAAAAAACCCTTTCAAGCGGCCTCTTTACTTGAATACCTTCTAAGGGTCTATAGGAGATTCGTCTTTGCTTATTGATTTGGCAATGTTCACAAAACAAATTAGGTGAGTGCTTTAACACAGGAAGACCTCGAACTGAATGTCTCTTACTAGTCCTGACAATAGCACCATAATTTATATGACCAAACCGACCATGCCATAATTTATTATTGTTATGCTGAACTGTGGATGCCTCAAATTTTACAGATTTGTCCCCCTTTTTCACTATTTTCGGAAATACATGATAGTTACTTCCTATCAACTTAGCTTTGTACAATGTTTCATTTTCATCATCAGTAACTTTAATTTGCCCATTTTGACCATAAAATCTTGCTCCATTGATATCCACCCTAGGTCCAGATATTAAATTTCGTCTCAGTTCAGGTGAGTATAAAACATCTTTAAGCAAAATAACCGTATCCCCAAATTTCATTTTAACAGTACCCTTCCCCCATGAATTGGAAAAGTTACCCCATCAATAGCTACTAGCATATTCTCATTTTTCACAGGAGAAAAAAGTATCAAACAATTCACGATTTTTACAAAAATGATGAGATGCAGCAGTATCAAAAATCCAACTATCATCATTTTCCTTCCAAATTGTTAACATTAGCTTGAGCTATAAAATGGGACTGAGCATGGGAATTATTTTTACCTTTTACTCAACTTGGGTTTATTCTTACACTTAGAGATGTGTTTTATTACTACTAGATACAGCTGAGGAAACAGAAGAAGCAGGTGAGGGTGATCTGGAAAAATTACCTTTCATTCTACAGTATTTTTGAATATGACCTGGACGGCCACATTTATAACACTTGAGCCCTTTAATCTGCTTAAATTTGGGTTCACAGTGAGTACTTTGAACTTCTATATAGTCTTATTGGAATTTTCCCTATCTATCTCTCTTAAATTAAGACGCGTTTCCTCTGCTAGTATTTCAAGTTCAACATTTTTAAATATGAACTTTTCATCTGGCCACCTCAAAACATTCTGAACTACTTGATCAAATTTATCTGGAAGGAACCTAAGAAACTGGAAAACATATATACGTCTCTTACAGCCTGATTAATATCAGCTAACTGTTCAGTTACGCGTTTTAATCTAGAAGAAAAGAAACTAATACTTTCATTTGGCTTAATTTTACAATTTAAGAACTCTGAAAACAGGGACATATGTCTTGACCGATAATCTGGCTGGAAGTATTTGGCAAGCGTATTCCATGCCACTACCGGGTCATCAATTTCACATATCAAGTTTCTATATTCAGGGCTTACATTCATATAAATTAACGATAATGCCAATCGACTTCTATTTTGATAGTCGGCAATAATTTCTTTTGTAATACCCTTAACATCATTTAAATCAGGACATTTTTCAATACCTTTGACCAAAAGCCATGCATTTTTTTCATTCAAGACAAACTTCATATCTTTGGACCATGTAAAATAATTACATGCATCAAGTTTAGCAATATTATGCATGACACTAACAGTAGCCATATTTGAATTTTAACAAAAACCGCCCCCCAATCTCTTAAGTCCTAAATTAACTTTAAACTTCAAAAGTCTGCACTAAAAATAACTCAGGGCTGGTGGCCCATAACCAAAATGATGCTAAAGCAAAGTTTAAAGTTTAAAAAATTAAACATTTAGCAGTAGTAGCAATAAAAGCTCCCTGAGATACTATGTTGTGCAGACATTGAAGACAATAAAAGGTTTTGAACTTAACCAATTTATTAACAATATAATAAAGAATAGAAACACAAAAAATAAATTTCAACAATATCAGAGTCTTAGGAAAAATATAATATAACCATCATTCATCATCAAATAATATTTTTACCTGGTCTCCAAAACACTGGCATTCAATACAAACAAAAATGTCCTAAACAGTAATTATGCGGCCTAAAATGAAATTGGCTACACATTCAATAAGTCCATAATCAATGGTCAAGAAAACACCTGAAAATTTAAATGAAGTTCTTGAAAGCACTTAAAACCGGCCTAACTCCGTTACATTAGTTGAACACGAGGAATCGCCGCTCACGTATTTTAAATGCCGCCTTCATTGAAGAACATGGATGCCGCCCACGTCACTCACATTGGTAGCCTCTGGAACCAAGGAACTTTTCTGGAACAATCATCCTCACAGGAAAAATCAGGAACCAAGGAACTTTATTCACCGGACTGCATGCATCCTTCAAAAGGGCTGGAAACCGCTCACCCAAGTGCCAGGAAAGCAGGAACTAGAAGGGTTGAGCCAGAGCGACGCGAGATACTTATAGCAGAAGTAGGAATGACGTCATCTCACGGCAACCAATCAGGCTTTCGGCAGATGACGTAACATCACATTTCATTCGTTTTTTTTTTGCATCTCAATTAGGTTGAAACAGTCCATTCTTAACGGAAACAATGGCAATAAGAAAAAGAAGTAGAAGTAACTTCTATATTACATTAAAATAAGCCATATTCTAAATTACATTAAAAAGCCTAATAAACATTTCAAGGAGGAGAGATGATGCAGTAAAAGGGTTTACAATAAGTCATATTTTCCAACACATGTCACCATGTTTACTAAAATTGAATGAACCGCAAAATCGCACAGTGTAGTATGGGAAATCTCCCCATTTACCCTGGTCCAGAGAGGTAGGAGTGTTCTACCAAACTCTTAACTCCAGTTTCAAGAGACAACTCGAACGACAGGGGCTCCCGTACTGGCTTCAACGGCCTTTTGGAATTAGGTACCCACCCCGCGCATCTTAAGAATCTACCATGCAGCTACCCCACAGAGCAAGGACAGACAAGGCAGCACCAGTACGGTCCCTGCCAAGCCTTACCCTGTCCCGAGAGCCCTCAGGCCTTCTGTGAAGTCTGATTATATGCCCCGTGGTTGAGACTGCCTAGGTACAGATCCTAACCAGTACTTCCCAGGCATTCGCCTGAGTCAACCCCGGGGGGGGGGAGTTTCAAGAGACAGTTAATGCTTCTTCCCCATGTGAGTGGAACTCGTTGGAAGAACTGGTTTTCGCGACTATCTGGTTTTAGCCAACAACCTGGTTTTGGCCAAATCTGCTCTTGTGAATGGGGTTGTAGAGAAGGTGTTTTTCTTTGAGTATATATCATGAAACTAGTAAGATCAGTTTAAAAATTGTATTTCTTTTTCACAGTCAATTATATCAAATGGGTTCATTTTCTCCTGGAATCATGAATGACTTTTTGCCAATCGCTGGATACCTCAGTATAAGTTAATTACCTATTATTGTATCTCATGATCACAGTCAAGGTAAGTGTATCTTCTAATTGGAAAAATCATTTTGTTTTCGCCGAAATGCTTTTCTTTATGAATGAGATTAATCTTAGAACTTTTATAACATTGCAGATTCTCTCTCCTCCTTTTGTCAGGAAACTTGAGCTGTGAATCAGAGTCTGAGCTGTAATCTTCACTCTCCATATTCAGAAACACTACAGGAAATAATTAAAAGAAATGCCATTACAATAACAAACATAAATAAGCCTGATAAAGAAAGTTGGACATTCTGAAGTGATTCATAATGTGAAAGCTGTTCCTGTTGTCTGCTAAATAACACTATTACTTAACGTTTCACAAAAGGTCTCCCCCTCCTTGGGTCTTCATATGTACTGCATTTTATAATTGGGAAATATGAGTTATATTTGTCTCCTCACAGAATTAAAAAAAAGAATTTTGTTTTGTACATGGAAAGGTTTTGAATGCAGTTTGCTTCTAATCACCCCCTTCCCTTGCAGGCAGAAAGTGCTGGCAAATGGCCTTTGAAGTGGTATGCTCCTGAATGCATTTATTACTTTAAGTTCAGTAGCAAATCTGATGTATGGAGTTATGGTGTCACTCTTTGGGAATCACTGTCATATGGAGAGAAACCTTACCAGGTATTTAATCATTTTATAATTTTGAACGTAATCTGATTCTAAAAGTTTTCAGTGTAATTTATTTAAAATTTTTATTTAGTGTTAAATGCTTTTTAAATATCCTTTTAGCTTGTATTTTTAAATATTCTGAACTCTTGAAAAGTTTTTAGTTAAGCTTTTCATTCAAAAACATTAATAATTTACTCTTTTGCTTTAAAAAGAAAGATAATTTTTGTCTAAGGAGTTGTTAAAATGATAATGTATATTTAGTAACCTACATAGAAAGTGCACTGAAGTAGAGGCTTTCAGAGTATTAAAATAATAAATAATGCATATTTACTACATAGCCATTGCATTGAAGTGGGAGCTGTCATAGATGGCTCATCTGCTTCATCAACTAGAATTGGAATGATTGCCCTTTTAATGTTCATTCTCTCCTAGACCTATTACACTTTTTGTAATTTCATGCAGGGTTACTGTATCTTTTAGGATGGATGTCCAGGTATATAAGGGACTGACAGGTGTGCCTCTATTGTAGTGTAACATTGTGGTAATTTCAATAGCTTCTCGAGTTTTCAAGGCCACATTTATTCAAGTTTGTTCTATTTAATTTATCTTGGATGAATTTATTGGAATATTGCTTTATTCCTCATAACACTTCAGAATTAAATATATAAATATAAGCTAACTATAATCATCTCTATACATTTTAAAATTAATAAGGGGGAAACAAATCTTATATTTCTAAAATAGACACATCAAGTGTATACACTGTCCCTATCTACTATGAAGCAATAGGAAATATTTAGCCGTAAGTTTGTTCAGCATATCCTGGAAGTGAATAGCAAGAGCTGGAGAAACATGCACACATAATAAAAAAAGGTATGCATAGACTTGTTAATAATATACGCATCAAGGAAAATAATATGTCGTTAGTCAAGTATATATGAAGGCAATTCTAGAAGTAGAGTAACAAAACTTCTCAGAGATAAAACTTTATTCCATAAGCCAGGTAACATTATTCTTCAGAATCACTGGTAGACATTGCACTTCAGAATAGTCAACATGCTTGTCCAAATATTTGTTCTAGCAGTATTCAAAAGCATCATTGACAGCATAGAAGAAATCACTTTCAAGTCCCTGAGCAGTGTCACAATGGTTTGCTGGTTATTCATAAATCACTGAGTGCCATACCTTGGACTGTTGGAAGAATAATCCAGTACATTCTAGCAGTAGTGCTGTAACAACTCATACCTAATGATGGTTGTGCAAGAATTGTCATGCAACAATACAGTGGATTGTTTACACTTTATAAAAACCTTTTCTGTTTAAATTTTGTAATTAGCATTTTGATATAAAAATTTAGCGTTTTAAATGTAATTGTCTGCTGCTCTTTTGTTTTGATTGGGATGCAAACTATAGAGATTTATTTTGAAAATGGCTCATAAAATTGATCGATAGCTTGATGGTTACATAAACGGAAAAAAATATTCCTATCAATAAATTGTAAGCAATGTAAAAATCATACTTATTGCATTTCAAAGAAAGGTATTTTTAATATATTAAATTTAAAAGGGAAAAGCATCTTGCTGAAAGTAAAAAATGGGCTGCAAAACTGCATCCTGAGACTGTTCAAATGCAGTTAAATATCAAATCTTGACAGAAAATTCACTGATTCAAAGATGCATGGCATTAAAGCATTAAATATGTTCTGGCACTGTAAGTAAAATTTTTCATAAATATATGAAGTTTAAAAAGGTGTTTAAAGTTCACTTGCTTTTGTCAAAGCATATTGTAGAAAGAAAGCAAATTGTGGGAAAATATATGAAAACACCTAACTGCTAATAAATTTAAATTTGTGATAAGACATAGATTTAAGTGACTGTAATAAAAAAAAGATAAATTTTGTAATGCTCATTTGACAAAAATAACTAGGAAATGTGTCAATGCATAGAAAATTCCCCATTTAAATTCATGATAGTTGCAGGATTTTTTACAATGGTAAATTAAAACTTAAAAAAATCTCAAGTAAAGCTAAAATTAATTCACTCTACTATCAATTGAGTATTTTAGAACCAGTTTTTGAAGAAGAAATTCTAGCTGTATATGGAGCATTGATAAAATTGAGCTTCATGTGGACAAATCCTCTAGTCACATGTGTAAGTTAAATGCCTCGTATATAGTAAAGAAAGAATTAGAAATGGGAATAAAATGTATCCTATTTAAAGAAATATTTGTAAAATCACTGAATACTTTTTGTTGAGACTTTTACAATTCGGTTTTTTTAAACAAGCCTTAGGAAAGTGACATTCAAGAACACTCAACAGATTTTGGAAAATGATCAAAGAGGCATAAGATAAAATCAACATGATAATTCTTAAAAAAATTTGCTTTCATGGAAAATTTGAGTTAGAGCTATAGCCAAGAATAGCAGCCATCAGAAGCAAATTGCCACAAAAAACATGCCTTTTAATCACTTTTGCAAAAATATGCATTTTTAATGCATTGAATCTCATTGAAATGAAACCTTTCTTTTGTTAAATTTTGCTTTCATTAGTTATCAGTGCTCCAACCCCTGGATCTAAAAGTGTTTGCTTAAATAATCCAAAAAAAAAAAAAAAAAAATCTTTCATAATGTAGATAGTAATTATGATAGCAAAGCTTTCTAATCTGCAAGTAGTCTAAATGTGCTTGTTTCACTAAAATAGGGAACTGCACAATAATTGTGAATTGTTTCAATCATGCTTGATTTACAATTAATAAAAGAGCAGGAGAAAGTACTGTGAAAAATTATAAATTGATTGATCTTTTGGATATTGATATAAATAACACAGCATCTAAGAGTTCTGTGGAACTGATAATGATGGTGCAACATCGTCAAATTTAGATGATGAGGGAAGAGTGCATGAAATACCTGCAAAATTTGAAACCAACAAAGATAATGAAGATGATACATTATGTAATAAAACTGATCGTCCAATATAATCATTTATAAAGCAATGAAAACAGCACATCAGCATTTGCAAGGAGAAGAGAAAAGACACTGTATCTGAAATAACATTGAAAACTTTAGATGTTTTTTAAAAGGAATGTTTTTCCTTAAATACCAACAAACTGTTGATAATGATAAACAATAATTAATATTACAGATATCTTGTTGATAAAATTATGTGAAAGACAAAATGGATTAGTAATTTCTGTTTCATTCATTTTTGTTTTACTGTTCTTCATCTTTCCTTGAGGTGTCAAATTATTGAGGCTTTACTGTACTGCTTTAAGAAAATTTAACTCAGCATGTGATATTTGTTCTGTTTTCAGAGAAAAATGTCCGATGTGGATACCATATGACTTTCCTTGTAATAGCCTATTAAATTAAACATATTTTTGCTGCATTTGATTTAAGCTATTTCCTCTAATTTCATTAGAGAAGTATTTCTCATTCAATTAATTCAGTTCTGACTTCGCAGCGAGGCAAAAATGCATAAAAACTCAAAACATCTTCACTAAAAATTATTAAAAAAAAAATCATAAAACACCAAATGCAGTTAAAAATAATTTTTACAATTAGAGTTTCTATGCAAAAACAAGCAGTTCAGCCAGAGGGCAGAAAGACACATTTTGTGATGCACAAAATTGAAAGTTTATTTTTGATCCCACTTTGCAAAAAGACACTGAAGTTGGTGCACAAACTGACTTAATTCATTCTTCTACTATGAGTTTCAAATGCAAATAAATGGCGGCCTTGTTAGGCTTAGTACCACTTTTAAATTGTTGATAATAGTACAACTACTGCATGTAGATTAGCTAAAGATATAAAAACCTTAACCGAAACATAAGAATAACACAATTCTATCACTTTTAAAGCAAAAAATTCATAATTTACCAACATTAAGAATAAAAAATGTAAGCTCACTGAGTCATGTAACAGATCGGCAATATACACACTCTGTCACAAAAAAGTATATGCACCCAGAAGAATATACTTTTTTGTGATAAACGAACTAAAGGATTACAAATTCAGAATGAGAGATTGTTTCATTAAGAAGTTGTGGCATGAAAAAGTTACAAATCAGTAAGTAGTATAGCCACTTCTGGCAGCTCTACAAATCGAAACATGGCAATGAATCAAATAGGTTGCCTACGACCTTTACTAATCTTTGCAACTGGGCAGTTAATTCACCAGTATTCTGGGACAGCTGCAGTTGCCTTCCAAGTATGTCAAAAACGAGCTGTATTAATGAGATGTCTGTCAGTCCATGGGAGTACATCATATCCTTGAAGACATTGTTTGGAGAGTCGCGCAGTATTATGTTGACGAGCTTTGTCTTGCTGATAAATGGCATCTGACCGACTTGATAGTATAGGCAGTACAACTGGCATTAAAATGTCATCCACATAAATACAAGCCGTCATAGTGCCTTGAAGGATGACTAGAGGTGATCTTATATTGCAACAAATAGCTCCTCCACACTGTCACACCTTTTGTAATTGCCATGTGCCACTCAACAATAAATACTGGATTGAACCACTAGCCTGGCCGCCTCCACACACATGTGCATTGGTCATCAGCACTAAGACTGAATCGGGATTCATCGTGAAAGATCATACATCTCCAGTCGGTCAGACTTGCTTGAGTTCAGCAAAAATCCAGTTGACACTGCCTATGATGTGGGGTCAGTAGTAGCATTTAATGGACGTCGGCAGCATATACCAGCTTCGACCAATCGTCTTCGAATGGGTACCCTTGATACCACTGGATGCATGGAAGGTGGTAAATGGCGTGAATCGATGCTAGCGGCATTGTTGATACAGAAGTGAATGCTTTTATGATTCCACAATCCTCGTGCTCATTTTTTGTTCCTGGGATGTCTGACCCTCCATTATGGTAGATTATCCCTTCTATGATGTATTGTCGCCAAAACCGAGTAACTACCATATTGCTTCAATTGAGGTGGCATTTGATACACTTATTCGACCAACCTGCTTTTCTGAGACCTACTATACACCCCTTCTCAAAGTCCGACAACTATTCTTACTGCTGCCGATTATGTCTCAGAGGCATCTCTAGTCACATTACCGTCCATCCAATTTGACAGATTAGTTTGAATAGCCCTGCAGCACAAGCACTCATGCTTTTAATCTCTCATTTGCACCTCTTACATGCACATAGCCCGCTTACCCCTATCTCATTGACGTCAAAATTTAAATAACTTTTATATCTCTTACCGGACTACATGCCTGCTGAGTTTTGTATTTGTGGTTTAATTTCTTCTGGGTGGATAAATTTTTTTGTAACAGAGTGTATATATGCATGTTTGGAGCAGTCGATTGCAACAAAAAAAAAGGAGGTATACAACTACATATTATAGCAGTCTCGTGTATAAAATTTCAATGTTCTGTGGCTACTCATTGTTTAGTGATGGGAGATGCGTACGTACATACAGACATCACAAAAAAATCTCTTCTGAATCCATTTAAAATCCATTTTACAATCTGTTTTGGAAAAGTGAAATCAATCCTACATTTGCATGTGCTTCAATTCAAATTATTTTGCTGTTATTTTGTAAGCGTTAATTACATTTTCAGTTTATTTAGTTAATCCTGTTTATCTTTCATTTCAGGGAATGATTGGTAGAGATATACTGAAAATGTTTGAACTTAATGAGCGATTGGCAAAACCTGAATCTTGTCCAGATTCAGTGTACAGTTTGATGCGAAAGTGCTGGCAATACAAGTGAGTGCTGCATTTATAGGAGAAAAGATGTTTATGTCATGTATTTGTTTTAGTAGATATAGAATCTTTCTATATAAATTAAAAAGTATTCATGTCAGGTTTACTGAAATTATATTTCTTTTACACTTGATTAACAATTTGTGAGATAACTAGAGGGATGGTTGTACACTCTCATAGATAATTAATGAATTTGCCTTTGCCATATTGTCAGTATCAATAGCATGTAAGGAGTGTTTCATTTATAGCATTTCCTTTTATAAAAATCAATGAATGGGTCATCTACTTGCAGTAACTAAACGTAATTGTTAAGAAATCATACATGCCTTTAGTAAATGAAATGCCTGCTGATTTCAATGTGAATTGATTATATAATATGTTGGAAAGGACTGTTCAACATTATCTGCATTCTACCAAGCAGAAACAAACACTATTTTAGCAGCCATAAATCATATTATATTCCACATTTGATATGCCACATCATTTGAAGTTGGAATGGACATATCAGAACTGGATGATAAACAAAGTGATGTCAAGTAGCATGGTGTGATGAATTTAGAATCCATCTGTTTTATGCTAATGGGCATGCAAAAATGGGATGGCATAGGCAAATTGAAATTATGGATTCTTCATATTTCCAAGGAGCAGTTCTAGTATGTGAATTCTTTGGGACATGTTCATCTGGGTAGAATTAGACTTTGTTATTCATTCGGAGTCTGTTTTGATTATACATCGTCATTCTGTCAGATCATGCATTCCTTTATGTGTATCCAGTTTCCTGATAGGAGCTGTATGTTTTGGAACGACAATGCAGTGTGCTGCTGATCTATTGTTGCCACTAGTTAGCTGCAAGAGGACTTCATGATTTAGTCCCACAATCTCCTAACCTAATTGGAACTCTTTAACCCTTTCACAAGGGCGCATCTCTATTTAAGATGTCCGTGTGGGACAGAGGGGAGTTGAAGGCAATCGTTGCATGGGACGGGTGTTTTGCATTGCTAAGCCTAACTTTGGGGGGGGAAAAGTTTAATCTTTAGTATCGTAATTTTTGGTACCATTTTAGATTATTGCTTAAGCTCTCATATATGTTAAAATTAGCATTTAATATTTTTTCCGTTATTTTACATGAAAATATATTTCAAACATTGCTTATCTTGCAAAATAATTTTTGGAAGTGCTGTTCAAATTATTCCAAAATTTTAATTGAAAATTGATTAAGAAACACAATAAAGACTGTTTACAGTAAGAAATAACAAAATTTAAAATTAAGAGTGTGATAAGTCTTGAAGCATGGAGAAACGCCAAGTCCTACATTGCATGATCCACAAGCATAATATGTCTGTTGCTTTTTTCTTTGTTTTAGCACTATGCACCTTTTTTGGTTTTTTACCCTTTTCATTCACGTAGAGGATAGAGAAATGCTTATCAGATACTCGTATAGATACTGGTGCAGATAGGACAGCAAACTGCTTTTCTTTTCAATAATTTCTATAGTTTTTGAATTTATTCAGTCAGTTTCATTTTAAATAACAGCGTTTTAATGCCATGTTTTTTTATCAAAAAGAATGTTGGAGTTCAATATTGTTATAGCCATCAGCCCAAAAAAAACAATTTTTTGTACCATTTAACTGATTTTCGAAAACATGAATAGTGTGTTATAACTGTATCCCCTAAGTCTACACCACCCATGTTTTTGTAATCTATAATAATACATTTAGCTTTTAAAATGCCTTCTACAGTAACTCTTATCATTTCTGGTCCATGCATACTTGCTATCATAAAAATGTCTTTTTTTTTTTTTCCTTTTAAGGCAGTGATGTTCATGATATTTTGCTGCATTACATCCAATTGATCCTTTTTTAGTTTTTTCCTTTAAAGTCTTAGGCATTCTTTTTCGTGTATTTAATACTGTGCCACATTCATTCATTTTTATGGAACGCAAATATTCCGCAAGTAATAGGGAACTGAAGAAGCGATCCAAATATAAATTGTACCCTTTCTCATATAAGTTGCTCATCAATGTTTTCACAACTCTTTCTCCATAAGACCCATCACTCTTTAACATTTCTGTATCCTTCCTGCCGTAAATTAAAAAATTCCATACATAACTAGTAACTGATTCGCATAACTTGTATATTTTTATCCCGTAACCTGATGTCTTGGATGGAACATATTTATGAAACCCAACATGTCCTTTACAAGCAAAAAGGGATTCGTCAATTCAAACATTTTCCTTGGATATACAGTTTATTATTATTATTATTTTATTTATTTATTTTTTAGATTTTCTATGATTAGCCCTAGTTTTCCCAACTTTTTAGCACTCTTGTCTGAGGTGAAATGCAAAATGTTTATTTGTTAAAAAATAGTGATTTTTTTAGTTATATTAATATTAATATGCTATTAATATAGAGTATTTTTTCTCCATTAATGTTTCAGAGCCGAAGACCGGCCATCTTTTCCTGAAGTCTCTGCAATGCTACGGGATTGCATTGGATCCAGCTTATAAAAGTGCACTTGCCAGTCTACTCGGTTCACTTGCTTTTTACATGTCCAGTAAACAAACATTACTGGTTTTCTATATCTCACTCTCAGGTAACTCATTCAGCATTGGGGAGTTCTCTCTCTGTCTTTTTCTGTCTGGACATTCCATCTGATGCTGCATTATTGGCCATACATTCATTTTATCAATGTGCAATGTGACTGTAGTCCTAATACTATTTTTGTGGTATGTACAGTTTTTCATTACATATGGAAGAAATTTGTAAGAAAATGTTTGTTAAGAAAGCAGTAATTGTATATATGTATAAGAACCTACTCTGTGGTAGGGCAAATGTCTGGGACATAACTTGCCCTCCTCTGCTTTCAAAGCCAACAGAATTTGTTGATGCTCTAGTCATTAGAACCAGCCATTTTTTTACCTTCATTGTCTGTTTATTGAAAGATGTGTTTATCATGAGAAATTATTTTCAATTATTTCATTATATGTGTTTTTTTATTCAAAAGAAAAATAAAAGTGACCAAAAGCTTTATGGATAATGTTTGTGGGTGACTTTTTTCCCCATATTTTCTTGCTGCACCCAGAATCAAATTGAAACTAAAATAACAAGTAGAGTCTGACACACACACACACACAAAAAAAAAAAAAAAAATTAATATGCATTTTAGAACACCTGTAAATAACACTTATGGTATGATTGAACTAGTTCTTCAAGTTACACAAAGGAATATAATATATCATTGCTATTACACTAGTTTGTACTCCAAAAAATGCCTATCTTATAATTAATGTTCCATTTAATATAAAATAATTAAATTCAGCTTCCTACAAAGACTTGTTCACCAGTGACTAATTGAATAAGACCACTGAACATCGCAATTGTACCCAGGTTCAAGTCCCAGCAAACAGGCTGGCTGCATGGGCATTTTCATGGTGTCTTATGTATAACAGGATACGAGATAGCTTCTTGTATGGGTGCTTCATAAAAGTGTTCTTATGAGACACCTTTAAGTAAAAATGTTGCATGCATTTTCTTATTTAAATCAATCAATCAACATCTAAAGCCTTGAATGTGCCTAAAAAAATAGGGATTAAGTATAAGCATGCACCACAAATATTCTCCCATGTGTCTAAAACCATTATAAATATATCTCATCCCCAGTCTCTGGAAAAGTTGCTTTTTTGCTTACAGTTGGCCTATTGCAGTAACTATGTTGTTGTATTAAACTTTTAAGTAATGTAAGAAGCCAGTATCCTCCTGCTTTTACACCATTTACTGAACCAAAATGGAGGTTTAACATCAAAGTGCTAGATTGCTGCAGGATCACTAGTTAGTGCCAAAATGGAAATTATACCAAACGAGCCAAAATCAGGAATGCAAACTAGAATATTTTTTAACTAGTATAGTAATGGAAGAAGAAATAGAAAATAAAGACTTTAATAAAAAATTCATTGTCTGAAACTGTAAGTAATAAAAAAATTTTAAATTCGAAATTAATATCACAGTTTCCACTTAATACATTTTGTTTATATTAAAATTTGATTATGCGTCCTTTCATATGTATATAAAAATTATTACATTTTAAACTCATACTGCTTAATTAACTTAAATAACTCAATTCAATGTAAGAAATTTAGAAATTAGCTCAACAATTTAAACTTCATCATTTTATAAAAAAAATTTAACTTATGTAATTTTTTCCAGCTAGTTGCTGATACCCTTTTTCCAGAGTGAATTTTTGTAAAATTTAAATGCTGAAAAATTTGATTTAAAATGTATCTATCAAATTAGCATATTGAAAATTTCTGAATTATTCTGTATTTTGGTGTGAGCCTGGATAATTCTTTCCCTCCACCCTTCTAATATTCCATTTTAGAAAATTTAGTAATTTGGAGCATTTCATTAAAAAAATTTCTTTTTTTAATGAATTGCTCCAAATTACTAAATTTTCTAAAATGGAATATTATAAGCTGCTGTACTAAAAACTTGTTCCACGATAAAACTTTTTTTTTTTTTTTAATTCAATGCTCCAAAATACTAAACTTTCTAAAATAGAATAAATATTACAAGCTGCTGTACTAAAAACTTGTTCCCTGATATGAGCCAAAATTAGATTTTGAGGTCAATTCATTGTTAAATATTATGGCATGACTTCCTTTGATAATAATACATATGAAATACATTGCAATTAATACCAATTTAAATTTAAGATTTTTTTTTTTTTTTTTTTTTTTTTACCATACCTTAGTAAGGAAGTTATCAGTGGGTAATGGAAATTTCTGTTTGTTCGTAATACAATGCCTCTAGATGATTCCTTTTTAGAAATTTATTTATTAGGAAAACTTATAAATGTATTACTTTTTTTACTAGTTTACTTTTTAGTTTTATATATCAAAATGTTCCTTCACTTACAACACAGAGTAAATGTTTCAAAAATTAAATGTCAAGAAGAAAATTTTTTTAATTTAATCTTCTCTGGTTTTAAAAAAATTATTAGGTAGAATTTGCCATTTCAATTTAAATTTTGCACTAAAACCTGGGAAATAGTTAGCAATGTGATAAATGCTTAGAGAGCTAGTTTTTGTGTTAAATATATTTATAGTATTGCATAATTGCATTCTCTTGAAATCAGTAATGCCATAAGCATTTTAATATACTACTGATGATATTTGTATTCCATAGTGGCAAATTCACTTAATTTGCAGTATTTTAATTAGCTTTAAGTATTCTTTTACTATTTTGAAAGTAATTTGTTTTAAAGAGAGGAAATGAAGTTGGCTTAAAAGTTTTATAATTAATACATTAACATTGCATTATTACTAGATTCCTAAAAACTAGCATATGGAACACAAATAAGAATTAGACTTGAGGCTTTCTTATTTTTTATTTGAGCTATGTTTATGAAAGTTATTAACCTAGCTTAGCTTTAATATTAAAATTTGATCAGTTAGTTTCCATTTGCGTAGTTAGTTAAAATTGCTTACATGTAAGTAAATATTTTAATGATGGAATTTTATATTTTCTATCAAATATTAAAAAGGAAAGAGAGATTTTATTTTTTAAAGAATGTTTTATTTAAATAAATGTACACTCACACACAACAAAAGTTATCAACACAAAATAAATAAATAAACAGTTTTCTATACATTCCAGTAAAATGATCCTTCTAAACCAAATAATTGTTTGAGTACAATATCAGTTGAGTAAAAGAAATATTATATGCATAACTTAGGAATGTGGGTGACTTCAGCAAGATAAAATATTTAATTTTCTCTGAGATTGCATGAAACACATTCATCTGTTATTCTTAGTTATCAGATAATCAAATAATAATCTTAAAATAATTATTAAAAATGCAGTATCATCAACTTTTTAATGTAACTTTTAATAAAATACTGAAAAAGAAATGTCCCTATTCTTTATAAATAAATAATAATGATTTAGATAAATTAAGATCAAATTTCATAATATGCAAATACTATTGCATTGAATATTTTCAAGGAATGAAAAACGTGCACTTTCACAGAATCCGTCTAAAAGTCAGATTTACTAAAGTTTCATAGTTCTGCAAAATATTGTCAGACCAGCTGACAAATTTATAATTATTAAAAAGAATTATGCATTGGAAATATTATTTGCACATTTTCACAGTTATTGTGCGCCAGCAACTCATTGGGGCCCCTTTACAAAGCTTTCATCACCAACATTAATAAGTGAGTATTGGACCACTGCTTCTTGTGTATTATACATCAGAGCAAATTGAGCTTTATTTGACTGTTGGTTCATTCACCATTTTTGAAGAGAGTTTATTGGAGATGTGCTAGTCTTATTTAAGAACTTTTTTCCTGAAATGATGATGAGCTTCCATCATCAGATGAAAAGGAAACTGGCTGGAAACCAGAATTATCATAAGGAGCGCTGTATGATTTTGACTGTGCTGGTTGGAATGAAACTGAATATGATGGCTCAGATTGACTGCTTCGTATTGAATCTACATTGAAGCTATTTATGGTTTCTTTGGCCGATTTAGATCCATATGAATCTGCATTTCGTTCTCCAGATGACATGTAAAGAGCACTGCTGCTTGAACCATATGTAGCCTTTTTATTATTGGAGCTTGCATATCCTCTTCCATGTTCATTAGACCCGGGATTGTAAATACTAGCAGCTGGACTAGCTCCACTTGCATACAGATCACCAAAACTTCCACTGTTGGATCCTGAACTTAATCCTAGGAGGCTACTTGCAGCTGCACTGGAACCATAGCCGGCATTTCCACTGTTAGCACTATAGAAGTTATTGCTGCTATCAGAACCATAAAGCCCACCACTGCTACCATCCAAAGAGTAAACATTGCCATTTGAACTGCTAGATCCATGGAAAAGTCCACTGCTAGGACTACCACCGGAACCATAGAGGCCACTAGATCCAAGACCTGCACTACTGAATAATCCACGATTAGAGCCATCACTTGAAGAAAAAATGGAACTAGATCCACCTGAGCTGAATATTCCGCTGTTGGGATTACTTCCTTGTGAGAAAAAGCTACCAGTTGGACTGTTTCCTGAAGAATATATACCACTACTTGAACTTCCACTTGTTCCAAATAAGCTACTACTGCTTTCTGAGGGAGCACTGTAAAGACCACTGCTACCTCCAGTGAAATGTCCTGGACTAGCACTTTCACTAGCATATAATCCACTGCTGGAACCTAATTGTGATGCCATACTTGGATTGTAACTGGCAAATGCATTTGCAGCTGCTGCATTAGGGCTAGATTGCAGATATTGTGTATTACTACCATCAGCAGTTGCATAGTATGGCTTGTAATATTTCTGGAGCTGGCGTAGAGGGACTGAAATTGCCTTATAGCTGTTTCCACCAATGAGCATTGGCTTGGATCCAAACTCATCTGTGGCATAAGACATTCCAGACATTGATGGTGTGTAATAGGGCTTCACATATTGTCTTCTATTCATAAATGATTTTACCCAGTGACGTACTTTATCAGTCAAACCAAATGAAGGTGGTCTGTAGAGGTTTCTCAGCATGTTGGCATATCCTCCTCCTGTACTGCCAGAATTAGCCATGTACTGGTATCCCCCAGTGTTTCCATACATTCCACCTGCCATAGGATAACTGGACATCAGTTGCTGTGCAATTCCGCCTTGACGGAATTCTGCATCTTCTGTCTCAGTCAGATTTTCTGCTGTTTCAGTTGTTGCATAAGACAACGTTAAAATGCTTGCCCAAAATGCAATGCAGATAGCAGTCTGAAAAAGGAATTGGGAGTTAGATTTGAATGCTTGAAAAATGTTTTAAGTGTGATATAATAACTCATTAAAAATTGCTGAAAGGGAATGAATTACATTATTAAAGCTGTCAAATGATGAAACCAATAAAATGCTATTATACATTCAAAATATAATTTCTGAAGAACTTTAAAAAAAAAAAAAATCCTTTAAATATTAGAATTTTATGGGTATTCTTTATTTACAGAAAGTTAGTGAAGAATAAATTACTTGTTATTCTAACACACTGAAGTATTAAACATACCCACCATCTCCTTCCAAGCCGGTATCATATGCCAGATTTCATTTTGTGAAACTAATGTATAATAATAATAATCTAATATATTTATAATTTATATAATATTAATATATATATTATAATCCAGAAGGAGCTATTAGTCTTGAAATGGGATTTTGCATCAGTTCAATATAAACGGCAAATCACTTTTTAAATATTATATCCCTTCATTATTTTTAAAGAAGTTTAATAATAAATAATCTGCATGTATGTATATATGTTACTCGCATTGCAAAAAAAGAAAAAAAAAGAAAAAAAAAAAAAAAGGCAATAGTACCTAGAGCTATCAGATTCTGAATAACATAGTCCTCCATCCGAACATGTGCACCTGGAACCCGAGTTTTAACTTATTTTATTATCCATTTCATAGTGTGTAAAACGTTAATGAATTTTTGCTTAATAAGCCCAACAATTTGAAAGTAAGAGATAGCAACATTGTATGAAATGAAACATTCTTATCTCCAGGGTACGAGACTATTGGGGATTCAAAATATGTGCTGTTTTTAAATATTTTGTGATTTTGCTGTTGAATTGAATTTTATATGGGATGATATTTAATAAATAAAGTTAACACACAAAGCATGAATAAAAAAGAGACAAAAAAAAGTTTTACAAACCATCTTATTAAGAAAACTGAACATTGGTATGATATGGAAAAAATATAAAAATTTGTGCCAACACTTAATACTGCATCGAGAATTCTAAACATATGCTGTTATGCAGCTTTTAAAAATTTTGTGATTTCGCTGTGGAACTACATGTGGTATAAGTGTGAAGAAAATTATGCTTCATAATAAAACTAAAAGAAAAAAGGTTCTAGCGTGAGGGAGTGCAACAGCAGACTGGTAGACTACTGGCACAGCGAGAGCATAAAAAAACCTTTTGGGTGACCATTAAACTCTTAAAAATGTTCATATTTTTCAGATTAAGTCAGTGCTTGCACCGGAGCCCGCCTTCAGTACTTCTCAGTTTTTAAGATAAATTACAATTCTAGCTGGAGTGCACCGGAGCCCTAAATAAGATGAGCTTCGGTGCTTCTTTTTATAAAACTGATCCACAATTTAAAAGGGGAAAAGTTTAGAATTCCTAACATTTTAGTTTAACAATAAGCAAACTTTAAAATACTCTATTTTCCTAGAAATACGAACTCATGAGAACATGAGACGTTCAAATAAAGTCCCCTCACTCAGATGCGGAAACCTTTCCCTTTAAGAAAAACAATAAATTTGGGGTAGTTTGTTTAGGAATGCATAAATTTCACACCATGCCATCGTATCTAGTGTATTGTTATAGATGCTTGCAGTTAGTTATCCTCTCAGGAAGGCAAATTTGTGTTCATAAATGTGTATTAAGTGACAACAAATACAATAAGAGTGAAATACTGAGATAAACTGCTCAAGCACGTCCTATACACAGTCTTCTCACATTATCCACTAATGTGGGGGGGAAGCGTAACCAGCAGTAACCTTAGGAGTAAGATGCAGGACTCATTTTCTCCTGACATACATCTGCTTGATGGCTATAATTATATGAGCAGAGAGCCGCGGTCAAAGAGAACGTTCTCTCTTACCAAGGTTCCCCTCATTTTTTGTTTCCACCCACTCATACCCCCATTCTGTTTCACACTGGAATTTTCACAGCTATACTTTAAGTATGTTTAATTTTTGTGATGATAAAAGAACTCCACTCTTACCATCAGAGCTTAAATTGGGCCAGAGCCCACCGGATCTTGGCTCCAGTGCTTCTTAGTTTATGTAATAAATCATAATTCTAGCCGAAACGCAACAGAGCCCTGAATAGGAAGGCTGCGGTACTTCTTTCATATAATTGAATAACAATTTCAGTAGAAATTTTATCTCAAAAATTTTAATTTAACAATAAAATTATATTTAAAATCGCTTATTAAATTTCATTTATCTCTTGCATTTTATTTAATTTTTAATTATTTCAAAAAATAATTAATTACATACTAATTGACAATTAAAATTTAATTAATTTTATAATTATTATTGATTAAAAACAATTTATAAACATTAATTAAATAGCTATTAATTAATTGATAATAATTAACTATTTAATTTTAAAATTCTCAATGAGTTTAATAGTCATTTTATTTATTTATTTACTCTTGTTCCTCTTTGCTGACAGTCTTCCACAGGGCTTTGACACTTCTAATCTTAGAAATTAAGCCCTGGATTAAATATTATAGTTTATTTTTTATGGCAAAATGTTAATTTCTGTACATGGCATGTTATATAAAAGATTTCCCTGTAAAACTTTGAAATACACTTGCATTGTTGTTATTTTATTGTAATGGTCAACCATATATACATAGCTTCTATTTAACCGTACTGTTATTGCCATATTTAAGAGTTCTTTAAAAATTTATTTATGATTCTAACAATAGGAGAGTGAGGAACTGACTTTTTCATAAAAAGAAAACTTGTAGGTAGACGGCTGGCAGATGAATGTTTGTTTCGTGTGGTAGAATTAGAAACTTTTTTTTTTTTTTTTTTTTTTTTTTTTTGCAGCAGTGATGTAAATGTTTATAAAAATCATCATTAGATGTATTATAAGTTTTGTAAGTTAAATGCCCAACACATTGAGTTTGAAACTGGTCCCAAATTAAGAGATATGCGAGATAAAAATTATACACATTATTCCGCAAATGCTGGAAATGATGGTCTTATTCATTTATGCATATATTAGGATTGTTAAAAATATTTAAACAATTCAGAAATTGAACGTACTTTGGAGCTGGGTTTAAGATGAATATGTTGTATTATCAATTACATCAATTAAAGAAATTTAAAATAAAATGAAGATATAATAAAATCCACATGTATTGGTTCTAAATCACTCAGTTTATGAAGCAGTGTATAATTTGAAAAGTACTAATTAAAAGTTTTAGGCCATGTTGAATGGCAACTTTTCCTGGAAATAATTAATGTACTAAATCGTAGAGTTGGTAAAAATTTTTATACCAGGTACCAGGTATTATAAATACCAGGTTTATAACAACAGGTACTAGGTTTTATAAATTACCAGGTAGCATAATATAATGTAACAGGATGCGGAAAATGGAAAAACTGAGGTGGTATAAATGTTCCCAAAATCAAAATATAGATTAATGCCGTCATCAGTCAAACTGCGTTGTCACCCCTCCCTACCCCAGAGGGAAAAAATCCGAACCAGTGTGTTTTAATGTGACGAGAATTAACCAGAAACTCATTTTCAGCTTTCTGATCGAGAACTAAAAGATTTTTTTAAAGTGTACGTTAATTGTCCGTATTTTTTATGCTTTTTTTATCTTTAGAAGTAAGTATTTACGCTTCGCGGTTGTTTGTATGACTTATTTGGGGTTCTCACGAAACCTCCAACCTCTTATTAAAGGTAGGCAAGCTGTAGGTGCAACTCCGTGTCAAGGTCGAAGCGTGGTTGACTGGCCTGCTGCTTCTGATTCTGAATAGTGTTTCTCCCTGCTCGAAAGCCCCCAGAGCCGGAACTGGGGTGAATGATCCTCTTTGTCCTTCCGCTCATCTCTGGGTTACGGTGTCACGAGGACAACATTCCGATCCGGGTTAGGATGCTCCCGTTCTTTGGATGCCTCTCTGCTTGCTCTAGAACAGCCGACATGTATTAGCATAAAAAAGGTCGGATGAGGAGAGAGAAAAATTTTTACACGCTTCAAAGGTCTTCTAGTTTGGTTGGCCATTGGGACGCTAAAGTTAGTCGTGATGATTTGAAATTGGGTATTCTTGCCGGCTTTTGATAATATGCGTCTTTCTCAACTGGTAAACTGAAATTAAGGAAAATACTGATGTAACAGAAATGCTTTATGTTATCATCTACATTCACAAGAATGCTTTCATGTGCACTGAAACTGCAGTTTATATGTTTTAAGGCGTCACTTCTCGATTCGGCAAGTCATCAATGGCATTCTCTTTTTTTCATTTTAACAGTGCTGAATTCCATTATGCGTTGGAATTCTTGTTAAAATAATTTAAGTGCTTAAGTACAGCATTTTTTTTTTTTTTTTTTTTTTTTTAAGAGTTCCTATTCCTCAGTTTTCTTGTTTATATGACAGGGGAAAATATGAGGAGTTGTGTGATGAATCTGGTGTCTCCTAAAATGTGATGCCGCCTTTACGTACTCAAGTCCTATTCTACGATCGTAATGATTGTACCTAACTGATTTCTGCTCTTATGTAAGTTGTAAAGAGATTAGATTGTGCACTTCTGTTGCTTGTCGAAAGGGGCGATTAAATCGTGATCAATTTAAATAGACCACCTGTATTAGCTCAGCTTATTATCTAGAATTAGTTAACCTGTTAGTAAACCTGTCAGGTTTATTAGGGTTTAATTCTGTCAGGCTTCGTGAAACTTAACGCTTTTTATTACGATTTCAATGAAGTACACTGTCATGGCGTAATAAAACACGCATAACAAAAATGGTTTATAGTGGGTTAAAGTATTTACGATGTTTTAATGGGATAACCGAGCTTTGATATTAGAGTCTGGATTGGGTTGTAATATTTTAATTACGTTAAAATACATAAAATAAGGCAAATTCTATATTTTGTTACAAAATTTTTAGTATACCTTTAGTAGTTGCATGTAAGTTTTCTATCTTTGTGTTTGAATTGAATTCATAGGGATATTCAAGCATGCTTTTTGTTTTAATT